AAGATTTTCTTTTTCGTTAAGAAAGTAAGAATCTTTTCAATTATTCTTTTCAAAACACTTGAGCTTTAGGAATTTACAAAAATATTAAAGCTTGTCAGACTCTCTTTCACCACTTTAGCCCAGACAAGACTTATATATTCACCAGGTTGAGTGACTACATGTATGAATATGTTTCTCCCTAAAAAACCTTGATTTCGTAGCTTTAAACCACAGAGTATATTAATCTTGGGTTATCTTAATTCAAATAATTCATAAGAAAGATAAACTTATATTCTCAGATATTTTTGAATGATGAAAAATGATTTTTTAAAAAAATTTAAACGCTTTTATATGAAAAATACTTTTATTATTGTAATGGGAATACAAGTAAATCATTAATATGAGAACTTTAAATTAAGAAACATAACCTCTTTTATTCAGAATATACATTCTCGACCACAATCAAAACTTGGGGAGTGAGAATAAAAGCCTAGGGTGGAAACAAAGCTAAAGGGAGAAAAACAATTTACGATTGACAATCTGACAAAAACTTCACTTAGAACGGAAAAATAATCAAACAACACATAAATTTTTTATTTGCAAACAAGACCTAGAAAATCTTGATTTGTTATCATAGCTGACAATTTCTAGGAGAAAACAAATCATTGTTAATTATCTAACCTAAAAAATAATTAAAATTCACTAACTCAAATTTTTAATACAACACCTTATGATGGTTCGAAACTATGACTCTAATGTAGCGAACACAGACAAAAACCTAGGTCCATACGCATACCCTAAATTAGTCTAGTCTAGAAGCCCTATGTTAGTTCTAGATCTCCCCCATAGATTAGAACTAAGGACTGGGACCTATAAAACAAACTAACCTACCCCCGAAGACTATGAGCATCCTAGAAAGAAGTAACCCATGCTACTAACAAAGATACTCACAACCACTTTTATAGCGAGGACTACTTTAAGTCATTGTTGTGACAATAACAGAGCTCTTGTTATTCTAGTGGTTAATGGTCTTAGGCTACTAATGTATCCGGAATGATGGAAAGTGATGGCCATCTTGACTGGGTGAGTTAGTCCGAAATTTAGGTTAGGCTGCATATAGTTTCCTATTTAGAGGTATGTTGAGTAGGGCTTCTCCTTTATCAAAAATCTTGTCATTTTCCTACCTTTTAGACTAGGACGTCTCAATCCCAATCTGATCTAAAACCGTTTTATGACTAAATCTAACTCAATTAAGTCTCAAATCTAATTCAACCCAGATTCAAAACCCATCTCTAAATTTAATCCAATCAAGATCTAATTAAATCCAAATGATTCCTAGAAACTTAATTAATTGATCAGAGCTCTACATTATCACTCTGACTTTATTGTTGGGCTCAACCGTAAGGGTTTAAGTTTTTTTAAATTAAAGTGAAGTTGATCTATTTAATCTTTTATAGTTTATCAAAGTCTTCAAATCTCGTTAATCCATAAACATTTCGTTAATGAATATAAAAGATATAAGTCATAATTTTAATTAAGAGTTTTCTCAAGAGTAATTCTTGAGATGTAATTAATTATGCTGAGAGCCTCTCATAGAGATACCAGACCACATAATTAAAATAAACCCTATCTTACACCAATAAGGAAAGGGAAGAATCCTGGTTCCACATATTCATTAATCTCAATGAGTTTTGCATCTGAATGATTAGATCCATTCTGAGGTAATATTCCAATCTTTCGAGACAGTACATTATTCTTTGAATGTCATATCCAATCATTTAGATAAAAATATTTTGAGATCTATGATGGCTATCAATAGAAAAGAATCCCATTACCAAAGAGTTATGTCATTCTCTCAATGTAACACTCTTGCAAAGTATCTTTTAGAATGAACAACAAAGAATGCATGGTCTCTTCTGGTGAAAATAGTCATTTCATCTATAACAATGCTCATATGGACTATTTTGACAATAATTCCAAAACCCTTAAATATCTTTTTAGGTAGCATATGTATCCTATAACACATCAAAGCTCCTACCTTTGATTATGTCGTAGCAATCAATAGATGTCAACAACTCAGAGCATCAACCATCTTATCTTGACTCCTCATTTTTTTCTTGAGCAAGAAATGAAAAATAAGAGAATTTTTTCCTATGAAACATCTTCCTTTGGCTTATTCTGCCTATTCAAGAATATCAAGGCCTCATAATTAGTACAAAGGGTGAACTCATTGACTAGTAAATAGTAATTCTAATGGCTAAGAGTTGTCACAAAGACATAAAACTCATTTTAATAAGTTGAGTACGTTCTCTTGAAATCATTCAACTTCTTAATAAAATAACCTATAGGATGTCCTCCCTGACTTAATACAGCTCTAATCTCCATATGGAATGCACCACACTCCACTTCAAACACATGATTGAAATCAAGAAGTGTTATAATAAGGACCTGAATAACCTACTTCTTCAAAAAAATCAAATCTAGCTTTAGCTTCATCTAACGATGAAAATCTATCTTCCTTTAGGACCTCTGTTAAAGGTGCTTTAATAATATTAAAATTCTTGATGAACCTTCTATAGAAAGAAGCTTATGGAATTGGTATATTTGTGTAAATGACTATGGATTGAGCCAACTCACAATAATCTCAATCCTAATCAGATCAATCGCGATGTCAGGCGCTAAAATAATATACAAAAAAAAACATTTTTTGAGGTAAAAAATTGACATGTATTTAGATGTTTATATAGGAGCTTTGTCCAAAAAGCTATAACAACTCATCAAATTGGGTGGAAATGCTCATTTCTAAATGTATGTATAATTAAATATCCTTAGAGCACACAACCAAAAAATTTTTGATAAAGATTAAAAAAAAATTGTTCATCAACCTTATTAGTGCTCTAGGCATTAAACAAGCTAAAGGATATGATTTTACAATGATACTCATCCTACATCTTGAGAGTGATCTTCTACTCATCCCCAAGTGTCACCCTAATCTGGTCATATTTACTACATAGATCGATTTTAGAAACAATAGAAGCTCCAAGCAACTTATCCAATAATTTGTTAAAATTTAGAATGAGGAACTGATACTTGATGTTAATGTTGTTTATTCTAAAAAATGGTGATACACATCCAAAAGCACTTAGATGTGTATCACCTATCACACAACAATAGCCAACCCAAAAAATAGTGATACAATTCCAAAAGAACAATATTATACCACACATACTCTTATAGCCTGTCTCTAATAAAAACATATAATGGACACATCTTATCAACAATGATATCATTCCCACCTTTTTAATCTAGCTAAGGAATATAGTTCAAAATACTTTTTGGTTGTAAGTCTTAATTTGCTATTATTTGAGTAAACACTACATTCTCAAAACTGCCTCTATATACATGTAAACAAACCCATAGTTCCTTTAACATAGGTATATTAATTTCTTGCCAAAGCTATTGTTACCCTCTCATGGCTATGGCCTAGAAAACTCGTCAAACCATAAATATCTTACCATCATCTATAGGCAACTAATACTCTTCTCAATTCTCCTCATTTTCAGAGTGTCCATTCCTTGCTTCTTCCAATGCAATGTTTTCATATTCATGATAGTTGAATATGAAAACATTCAACTAGATGGGAATACCTAGGGGATACTAGCCTGATCAATCTTTTTTTTTTTATGTTATGTTGGCTTCTCCTCATGTGGGGTAGGTCATGATGCTCCTGTCAGTATGTCTTATTGCCCAATCTCATAGTTGAACCTTACTTGAATGGTTGTGTAGACTGATATTATTGTTTTGTTTTTCCACATTCATGGCTAAGGTCTAAACTTGTGTATCATCTAATAGAGTTGAATTTACATAAATTGCAAATGGACAATCTCAATTGACTATGATATCAGACAAAAATGTTCTCATTTGATTTCACTAGTTGACATTTCAACATTAGTTTTTCAAGCTCAACGGTATACTCTTCTATTAAGAGGTCTTCTAGTTGTAAGTCAAAAAATTTCAAGAATATCACCTGTTTGTAATGAGCTAGAAGGCACTAGTATTGCTTCTCCTGTGTTGTCTCAGATCAAATTATGATTTTATTTTTTTTCACATTAATGCAACCCCTCTTGGTTCACTAACCACAAAGAAGCAATTTTTTTAGCTTTATTGTAGCTAATCTCACCCATGTGTACAATTCTGTCAAGCGGAACTTCTTTGTACAAAATATTTCCATCATACGATGCCACTCAAAAAAATTGCTTGCATCTATATGACCGTCAAAATGAAGAAAATTAACATTCACTACAAAATTAACCTGTTCTCCAATAAATATTTAACTGAAACAACATCAACTCTTCATGACTTAAGGCCTCTTTGTGAAAATAAGTGTCTAAATCTTTTTCATCCGGTCCATTATCCTTGTTGCTATTATGACTGCCCTATGTTACATTTTTCAAGTTCAATAAAACTCCATTGTAAATGGGTATTTTCCTTTGAATATTTTTCATTGTTAAAATCCTTAACACCCCTTTTATTATTTCACCTTAGCATCATGATAGATCTCCTCAGACTTCAGTTTCGTCTATGCAAAAATTTTTTAATCTAGGAATCGAGAGCATGGAGATAATTGTTTGTGGAGTTAGAGTTAGATTTTTTAGAGTGAGGAAAAAAAAAAGTGAAAAAATTTAACTGACTTTAATAACAAATGATAATGTTGAAGAACTCGTGTTTGAGGATTTGAGCTATCATAGAAAGACGAGGAAGAGATAAAAGATAACGTAGACTGTTGTCCAACAGTAGAAAAAGCAGACAAACAGTAAAATCAACAAAAGAGTAAAGATTTAACTGACTCAAATACCAAATGATAATGTTAAATAACTCTGATGTTTTAGGATCAATATAGTAGTGAGGTATTGTAGAAAAATGAGGAAGAGATTAAAGATAACGGAGACTCTTGTCCAACGGTAGAAAATTCAAGCACAAACACCAAGAAAGACTTTCTGCATTACTTGAAAAAGAGGAGCACTAGAAACAAAATATATCATATCAGTCAATTCTCAGCTAAACAAAATAAGCAAATTAACTGTCATAATACACAACACAACTAAATAAGCAGGAATAAGCACACAGGGTTTCAAAGTAAGCAGACTAGAGTTTTAGTACACCGCAACTCCAACAAAGCACCATACAGAAGGCCCGATGGGGTTCTAACTTCTAGCAGTTAGCCAATATCACAATCAGCAGAGGCTTCTTCATTAGTGTAGATAGGGAGACTGGTACTGGACATGGTAGCTGTTGCCATAATAGGCGTTATGGGTGGGAGATAAGGTGTAGGTAGCAGATCCAAGCAGTGCAGGAGGCAGAGGATGTGGTTCGGGTGGGTACATATACTGCCGTTCGTACGGGAATTGGTACCGTTCTGGCATGCGGTAAAAGCTTTGTTCGGGAAATGTTTGAGTCATTCGAGTTGGAGGAGCATAGATAGTACCGTTTGCTCGGGGCCTCTTCGATTGAGGTTTTGAAGCATCGGCAGCTCTTCGTTTGTCAGCCTTGGCTTTCTCCAGCTGAATGATTCTTTTTTGAAGTGAATCCACAGGGTATTGTTCCTCAAGCTTGTGCTCTTCGATGCACTTTATCACGGCCTTAAGAGCAGACAGCTCGCGTTCATTCATTTCATTCTGAAACAAAATAGTATATAAATCTCAATGTTGAAAAAAAATCCTAATGCAACAACTGTTTTTTTGCAACTTCAATTGAATGGGCATTTACATACATACCACTTTTTTTTTAATAAGACGCAAACCATTCATATCACATAAAAAATACCACTATTTTAGCGTTTAAAAAATGAAATGCACTTTTTATGCATAGCTAAGGTGCATATATGCAAGAATTAAATTTTAGGTGCTAGATATGTAAATACATAAGAACTGAATAGTATGTGCATGTAAATCTACCTTGAATTTAATCCACAAAATGAGATCATTTGCTTCAATCAAAATTTTGTTAAGGGTCGTTCAAGTTTAACAATGAACAACTCATAGAAAGAAAATCTAAGTGAAACTGAAATTTAGCTTCACTTAAAATCTAGCAAAGGTCTTAATAATGACTCCCATAAAGGAAAATCAAGATGAAATAGATAAATATTTCCATTTGATGCTCCCATGCTATAGGTCGGTCGGGTTTAATGCATGCGTACAAAACTTTTAAGGAGCATCATCTCCAACCACACAGAAAAAGCATAGCACTGAAAATACAGCAAAACCTATATGGTGCACTAGGAAAACCCTCTGAAGAAAAAAACAATCCGCTAAATTACTTTTAAATTAAAGGGAAAAGGTTCTCAGTCAAGCACTTGCTAGAATAATTTAGAAAATGCTCAGTCAACCATTAAGCCAACATATATCTCAGTCAAGCACTAGAACCGCATTTTCGGATAAGCGGGGAAAACGCACGATCCAAACGATACCACGGCGTTTTCAAAAATGCTCCCGTACTTATAAGTTGCCCCAAACTAGCTCAAAGCTAAACATGCACATGCAAGCATGTTATATAGTTCATATCATTCGTATGTTATTTTCATTCAATTTTACATTTACATAATGAATAAAATTAGCATTTTTTAAAATATATATTTATCACAATGATATGACCAATCTAAAATAGCGTTTAAATCACATTACAATAGTCCAATCAAATTTCAATAACAATCAATGAATTCAGTATAAAATAAACAAAAATTACTATAACTTACCTCCATCCTAAAAAATTTCCTGGCTCTTGACGTCTGTCACCTCTTTGAAATTAACGCCTATAAAATATAAAATATTCATTTTACTAAATTTTTTTATCACATTACTTAATTATGCATTAACTAACTATTAGATTTTAATCGTCATCTTATTATATTAATTTAATTAAGATTTCAATCCTTCAATTTTAAGTTTAGACATTACAATTAATACAAATATTATATACTTCTAGAAATAAAACACTAACATTTCTCCATTGTCTCCAACACAACTCGATCTCTTTTAAACTTTAATTCAATTGTCTATCAAAGTAAACTTAGTAATTTTAATTCATAAAATTTGAATAACATTTAACTAATTAAAAAAAATAACTTATACAATAAAAATTATAAACCCTTACTCTTTCTTCCACTGTTTAGTCGCACCTCTAGCACGCGAAACTAATTCGCATGCCACTTCTTTTAACCTACTAGGGCACGAGTTCCTCCTTTTGCATCACAATCGCTTAACACTTCTTTCCTTCTTCCTATCTGCTCAATTCGGTTCTCCCTCACCTCCTCATTCACACGAAAAACACATGTTGTGTCTCATCATGCCTCTAACTCTCTTTTCTCTCTCACACGAAGTTCCAACAGAGCCACCTCCCTTCGTCCTCTTCGCATGAGACTTCTACCCACCCATGGTGTCGCTCGCACAACTGCAATGTATGCAAAGCTTAGACTAGAGTTGTGCATGCAAGGTACGAAACTTTCTCCCTCTTCTTCAATTAGGGCATGGGTTTCTTTGACAACAGTTTAAGTGGCTCAATTGAATTTTTGTGAGTCGGAAAATAGAAAAAAAGCTTGGTATCCCTACTTTTCTTCCTCACGACTTCACCTACTTCCTTCGCTCACTCTCTCATCCTCTTTCAAAAAATCTCTCAGCTTCCTTCTCTAATGGGGTCGAACATGAAAGGAGATGAGGGATAAGCCCTTCGTCTAACTCCCCAGATGTTGATATGTTTATTTTGAATGAGCAAGTTTCAAAACCGATATTTATTTTATTATTTTTTTAGGTTAATAAAAATTTTAAACTTACTTTTAAAAATGATTATTACAATCTCCCCTTAATTTAAAATTTTATCCTCAAAATTTATAAATATACCACAAATCGCTTCTCAATAATTAAGTAAAACTTAAATTATCCATATATTTTCATGAAAATGCTTAAATCTAATTCAACATGATGAAAATTGATTAAAGTAAAAAGGTGGTTTATAACAAGATGACTAAACTAACTTCACCCATCATGTGAAATAAGATAACATAATGAAAATAACACAATAAGATAACATAATGAAAATAACACCACATTAATACGTAATATAGAATAATTAGATTAACACCGCCATAACATGTAAGAAAAATAGAAAACTCATCAAATCCCATTAGGATCAGCATCAGCATGAACAGTAGATTCTTCAGGCTTGGTACGAATAAGGGCATAAACTCAAGGTCGAATTGACAGTTATAGTTGACCTTGAACTAGGGGTCAACTCTGAATCAGCGCTACGACTTCCTCCAGTTCAATAGACATGGAAAAGGAAAGTTGGTGGTATTAAGAAGATGCGGAAAAGGACCAACCGGCTCTGTCACGCATAAGAGAGTAGGTCCATTCTTTAGTTAGCCTAGATGTTTGTATGTTGTTGTCATCATATTTAGGTCAATTTTTTATTGTATTTCTGTCAAAATAGCCATCGGTGCACCCAGTTTTCCCTTATAGAGTTGTACCCAAGTGCAAGTGGTGTTTCAAGTATATCTCGTTCTGAGGTGGTGGTTATCTTCTAAGGTTTGTGTGGTGCTCCAACAATATGTCACTCCCAAGATAGTATTTATTCTCAGTTCCTCATTTCGCAACCTCCCTTCATTGTTGTCATTACCATCCTTATTGCAGTCGCCAAGGAATAGTCCTCTTGGTTGTTCTCTAGCAATTCCCCCACCTCCTAGTAGCCAGTCGCCCGCTATCCCAATTGTCTCCTTGTTCAGAAATCTCAGCACCTTCCCCACCTCCTCTACCCTTTCCCCTCGTTGTCGTCATTGGGAAAACAACAAGACTGTTGATTTACCATGTTCCAACAATTCCCACCGCACCTTTCAGCTCCCGCCCAACTTGTTGTCCTTGTTGTCCCCATCTCCTCGGCTAATACTTCCATCCCCTTTTGTTGTGTTGTCATTGTTCCTTCGCAATCCCACACCTTATCATATCACCACCTCTCCAGACCCTAACATGAACCACCACCGCCTTTGATTCACCTTAATCGTGTGTTTTGTGTCATGCGTGTTATTATTTCTATTGTTGTCTGGTTGTAAATTTTTATCTGATTTCACAAATAATATTTGTTTTCCTATTGTTGTTTGTGTTAATTTTGATATCAATTGGTATCAATGCTAGCTTAGCCTTGGTCATATCCTAAGGTTTATAGCATCCACCAATACCTAGCCCTATCCTAACACAACACCCTTCCCTTTGATGATTTTTCCAAACCAGCACCCAAAAATTTTCTTTCCCACCCTACATCACCCCTATACATCTTTTCACCGCTTCGACCCTAAACCATAATCATATCACCAATGAGGCACTTGTCGAACGAGGATGAAGAGTTTACCATGGAAGAGATGTAGCGGGAATCCCATCAAGTGCCAAGAAGACTTGTCAAACTTGGGAAACGGGCCCAAGGAAAGGTCACCGTCAAGATTGGTAGCAAGATCCGACGAGGAGAGAAAGAGGAACACCTAAATCCCTTTTGTAGGGATGATTCTAGTGAGAAGAAGACAGACCACGACAATTTGGGATACAATATCAAAGGAAACCAAGAAATGAATTGGTTGTTGTGGATATAGAGGTGAAGTGCATGTTGGATGCCACAGATACTCGAGACTAGGCATATTGAATTTTGAGGGGAGAATAAATCTGGATGACTTTATAGAGTGGTTACAAACCATTGAGAGAGTTTTTGAATAATGGGTGCCATATGACTAGAAAATGAAGCTTGTTGCTATCAAGCTGGAGAAGAGCTTGTTGCTATCAAGCTGGATAAGAGCGTCTCATTATGGTGAGAGAATCTTAAGAGGGAGAGAGCTAGAGGATGAAAAAAGATTACTACCTAGGAAACGATCAAGAGAAAGTTTGTCAGTCCCTACCCATATACTACCATTAGGACCTTTTCTCGAGGCTCCACCTGCAACAGAGGGGCCTATCAATGGAGTACACAATGAAGTTTATGCAGCTTAAGTTGACATGTGATATGACAGAACCAGAAAAGCACATGATAGCTAGGTACTTGGGAGGCCTAATGCCTGTCATCAACAAAATGGTTCAACTACTGCCTTATTGGTCTTTGCATGGCTTTCAGACCTTAGCACTAAAGTTAGAGAAACAACAAAAGCAAAGCAGGCACCCACCGTTATTTAGAGAACCACCATAGTTGGAGACATCAATAGAAGCGCACCTAAGATAGTTGAAAAGTCTGATTAGGAAAATGATAAAGCAGCCTGAGAAGAGCAGCACTCCCAATATAGTACCACTTAAGAAATGCATCATATGTCATGATTTTGGACACATCGCTTCCTGTTACCCAGCGAGTCGAGTTGTGTCCTTCACTGTGCAGGGTGCAATAGAGAGAGTCAGGGACTGAGAGGCAGCCGAAGAAAATGGCGAGTCCCAACTTCAACTGAGGACGAGATACTTGTGATTTGACTCTTTTCCATTTTGAGCCTACAAGATAGCAGTAGTGATTTATCACAACATATTCTACACCCATTGCACTGTGAAAGAAAAATATGTTGAAACATCACTGATGGAGGTAACAGAAAGAATATGATGTATATTCAGATGGTGGACAATTTAAGCATCATGACTCGTAGACATTCCCGATTGCATTAATTGAT